CAATCAAATATAACTTCTTTCAAAAAATGTACTACAGGTTATAGGTTATTTTTTTTTTATTAAACTATTTGGTTTCCACATAACTAGTGTGTAAAGCTAATGAAGGATGTCTTAAGTTTTAAAAATTTATTCTATTTTAGTGCTTTCTATGTTGGATGCACAAATATGGTTCACCGAACTGTGAAACACACATTTTCTTAAATAAATCTATTCTCCAGAGCTTTTCAGAAGCTAGTAGAATTTATGGGATTTGTGACACAGACTTTTGCTCACTGTTACATTTTGGCTTCAAGATTTGTTGACAGTGCTCTAAACTAAAGCTTCACAAATCTCACTGAGGTTCTGGGTAGGGAATATTTGTTCTTTTTTCTGATACTGATAAAGCATTTCATAGTTTATTATTTTACCTCAGCTTAGATTGATCTTATTGCATCTTCAAATTGTTTTAACCCATAATAACTCAAACTTTCCAAATGCAATATTCTTGCTTCAGTGATTTTACAATAACAGTGACTATGATCAGGAACATGTATATTAGACTTTGGAAATTAAAAACTATTTCTTGGGATTCTTGGTGACAAGACTTGGAAGTAATAAATTGGTGATTATTTTTCCTTTATCCAAAACTAAGAATGTATCAGCAGAAGAGTTAGAAAGAAGGTTTGTTTCCGTTACCTAATGGGTACATATTTTAGAATACAGATAAAAATATAAGAAGAATGATATCATTTCATGAACTTGAACTCCAAGGGCAAATTACAAACCCCTGTAATTTTCTGAGCGTAAGAATACTAAGAACATTTCTTGCTTTAAGATTTTCTTCAGAGTCAGTCCCTGGGCTCCTAATCCTGTAAATTCCTAAATGATAAGAGCAGGAGGAGTATCTTTTGTTCTACTTAGAGATGGTTCTAGTGGGCTCCTGAATGGCTCTTGGATGGAGTCACCAGAGAAACCAAGCTATGATTAGAAGATTGAAATTTTCAACCTCTTATCCCTGTCCTTTTGAGAGGGGAGAGAGGATAGAAATGGAATTAATATGGGCTATGCTTGTGTGAAGGTATCTCCAGAGCACCCTGAGATAAGAAGACTTGGGAATCTTTGTGGTGGGAGAAACCCCACCCTGCAAGGGGACAAAACTCCCACTCCATGTAGACAGAAGCTCTTGACTTTGGAACAATCCTATGCCTCTCCTGTTTCTTTATCTGACTGTTCATCTGTATCATGTTTAATAAACTAGCAAACATATGTAAGCATTTCCCTTAATTCTGTGAGTTGTTATAGCAAATTAATTGCTTCCAAGGAAGTGGTCATACAAATCCCCAAATTGTAACCAAATCAGAGTTGTGAGTGACCCAAGGACCTAATACTTGATATTGGCATCTGAAAGAGAGAGAGGAGAGAGTCTCGCAGAAGTGAGCCTTTTACTTGTGAGATCGAATGTCATCTCCAGATAGATAGTCAGAATTAAGTTGTGGGATAGCCAGTTGGTAATCCAGAATTGTTTGCTATGGGCAAAATCTTCACACATTTGGTGACCAGAAGTGTCAGAAAGAAAGTGTTCTAAGTAGAAATGGATATGTAGAGGAACAGAAAACTGAGTTTTCCTAATGTACTGTCAATTCATCTAACTTACTGAGTTAGATGAGTACTATGTACTCAGAACTATACTATGCAAAGATACCTAAAATAAATGATAGAATTTTTAGCATCTAAATATATGTTACCTAGGATTCTGCCAATTTTTTTTTTTAGGAGAAAGAATAGAACATCTTTAAAACATATATATCTATTTTACTTAACAGTGGTTCTGAATATTGAACAAATATAAATATACTGAATCTAACACCTTAATGGCTTGAACAAAAAGTGTATATGACTCCTTTCTAGTCTTGTCCTTGTTTTCAGTTAAATATAAAATTAGTTGGAAAGGGAGGAACAGACATCCTTCAAGTTCTCTTTTGAAGCCAAAACAAAGCCAAAAGCAGGTTTGGTTCTCCTTCGCATATTTTATTATTTCTTGTGTTAGTGGCATATCTTGGTGTCTTCTTTGACTAAGAAAGCTGCCTGGGTACATTTAACCCTGAGAACTTGCAGCAGTTCAAACCCTCCTGCTCTTCACTGCCACACTCCTTGTCTTCACAAGCTGGAGGGCACTGAGTGCCAGCAGCCAGGAAGTAATGCTGAGACAGGAGGAAGGAGGAAGCTGGGTCAGATGATAGAAGTCTACAGGCTTCCAAGAATTATTGAATAACTTATTCTTTAGATCTTGGTTGATCTAACATAACTTGCAGCATTATGCCAGAGATAAAAACCTGGATCAACTGTCCTTTCTGACGACCTGGTCTTTCCCCTTTCCTCTCCATGTTTCTATTTACTTTATTTTATCTTATCTTTTTTTTTTGGCAGAATTTTAATGTGTACTTGGGAATGCAGAAATTGAGGTTTCCTGACACGCAGCAGTTGTTTTGAGGTCTGTAAACTCACAGGACAGAATCCTTATGTTGTTATCTTGCACGGGCTATCGCCAATGCTTTTTGTTTCAGAGTAGTTCCCACCATATTTTGCTATCAGCAGATGCCAAAGGTAAATGAGCGCAAGAATATTATGCAGGAAAGACTCAGGACTTAATCTAATATTTTGGGACACAGTAATCATCACAAGCCATTTTTTTTTCTTTTTGCAAAAAGTTATGATATTTTATGGTTTACTTCTGCTCCTAGAATCGCTTCACTGCTGGTGATAGGTCTGGCATTTGTCCTTGAGGAGAAGACAGAGAAAATGGATAGGAGATGTGCAGACTTCAGCTTCCCTGCTGTCTTCTATTTTCTACCCAGGCAGAGCAGGTGGTAACCAAGTAGAAATAGTTGACCATCAGGACCCTTAAAATGGGCAATGAAGGATTGCTTGCCTTGTTTGGTTAGAACGGATAATATTTTAAGGAGAAAGACAAATGATTAGAATCACCAGTCTCTGTCTTAGCCACCCATCTGATTTTCTTCTTTTTTGAAAACATCACTGCATATTTTAAGAACCAGTATTTCAAGGTCATTTCAAGTAAGTGAAAAGATATGAAAATCTTAACCTAATGGACACAAGAAGTTCCTCTGAATGAAGCAGTATTTTCTCAGCTTCCTGTTGTCTTTTTTCTTTCCTAGCCCAAGACGTTTTAATGTCTTTCCTTCTGCCACAGTCTTGCTTGTGTTTCTCTCAAAATAATCTTAGGCACCATTTTTTTTTAAAAAAAATAATATAATAGTTTATTTTTAAATCATTTTGTGCCCTTTTCCATCTCAATTGTAATCCCCGTGGGTTTCCCACCACCGATAGACCTGTATGCCATCACCATAGTCTGGTCTTAGGCACCATTTTTAATCATGGCAGAGGAGAAGCCAATGGAACTTTTAAGTAATTACATAAAAATAAAAGGAAAACAATTGGCCACAGGGAGTAAGATCACCAGGCAGGGAAGAAACAAGGAAAACATGTCAAATTGTTACAAAAAACCAACTTGTTATTACTGTTAATACCAGCTTTCCTTTTGAGTATCTGTTTTTGAATCTGCATAGACTAAGAATGCAGGCAACTCAGAATAGCTGTTTTATCAATTAGAAAATGATATCAAAATCTGTTTTTGAAAAAAACAAGAGTGTCACCATTTGACACTCTGGTCACAAGACCAATGTGGTCTTTGTCTACTGCTACCCACCCAGGGTTCACACAGTAAAATAGTAGAACCCTGTTCACAGGCTTCCTGAGGCAGGCCCAGGTATAGGGCTGGTCTAGTCTAGGCTGTTAAGATACAAAAAAGGGTGTTTATCCTTAAGTCATGGTGTTACTTTCTGGAACAGACCCATTTAGGAATGTCTGTCATAGTCTTGCAACACAGAGACTCAGATCTGACTGTGAAACCGAAGACAATGCAACTTCTCAGTGCAGAGTTTCCACTCCAGGGACCGTGGGCTCCCCTGGGTTGAAGAGTTAAAGGCAAATTGCTTGTGGGCTGTCAGTTGGTGATCAGCTCAGGAGTCTGTTTCATCTGTATTCCTAATTAAAGCCCAAATTAAATCCAGTCAAATGGCCCCATGAAAAAAACACAAGAATGAGTTTCCAAATTCTCATCAGCTCAAAGGGAATCTCATGTGTAAATCCCTAATTCAACCCTATTTTTATCTGTTCTCTCCAAGGGTCCTGGGAAGAGATTATTCAATGCACAGAAAGCAACTTGCCTGGATTTTTAATTTTCTTCTCAGTGACTTGCATGAGAGAAATCTGAATCCAGCCAACTGAATGAATCTGTAGGTCTATGGGATGATGGAAGAGGGAGGAGTCAACCATGACCCATGTTCCTATTCTGAAAACTGGGGAGTGGGGACACTGTAAAGAAGCTGCTTTGTTGCTAAGGTGGCAAGTTTGGCTGTGGAAAGTTGAGTTTAAGTTGTCAGGGGGAATAGGAAATGAGACTCAGAGGTTAAAAATAAGGTAGAATGGAGGTCGTGTGAATTGGATCAATGTGAGGGAAGCACAAAGTGACGAGGGTGGATGAGATGACGCCGTTGTACGATCTTTCATGGAGGTGGTAGCTTACTGCCTACGGGACTGCTAGTTCCCTCATTTTCCCACAGACAATAGGGGCTATGGCACATTCTTTGTGGATTCACTGGGATAAACCTTCCATAAAAATAACTCACTTGGTTGTCTGTAGTTTCCTTATTCACTGTAGGGCAAAATATGTTGATGGCCACAAAAAATCCACACAGAATATTGAAGCCAGTAAAGGGGAACTGTTACTCCTCAGCCTACCAACTTTTCCAGCCCTCCTGAAGCGAGTTTTAATCAGAGAAGTAGATAGTCACCCTGCCCTCTGCCAAGGATACATTTGACCTATCACAATACACTGAGTGTTAGTCCTTCAAAATTCCCCTCCAAACCTCCTTCCACCTCACTCCATGGGCTCAGTTGTGACAGCAGAGGTTAGAAAGCAAATTTGCAGAAAAACTCACCCTGGGGTCTTTCTCCAGCTGCTGCTTGTGGTGTAGGCTGCGTCTTCTCTTGGCCTTTGCAAGGCCGTTGTGATAAAAGTGGTACAGGCCTTCAGTGAAAGGGAGCTGTGGAGTCAAACAGGCACATAGCATGGTTAGCTTCTGACAGGGGAACAGGGTCATGGAAGCTGGGGCTGTACACTGGGCCTCCATGGGATGGGAAAATATGTGAAAACTACGGCAACCTCTGTCACTAGCCTCTTCCCTCTTCTGATCTAGTCCTGCCTCCACAGCTGGAATGCCTATCTCTGTCTGGACTTTATCTCTGACCCCAAGGTGCTTGTCTTCTTGCTGAGCGTGGCAGATATCCAAAACTTGTGAGTCTTGCTGAATGACAATCTGGGTTTCTCTCTATCTTCCTTTCCTAAGAAGTTTTGGAATTAAGTATGAATGTTCGATCTGATCAGAGAGACCACAATAGTGAAAACCTGTGAGGGGCACAGAGCCTGTAATCATCTAAGAGAACCTAAAGAAGATTGTCAAGGTCACTTGATGTGAACCGCCTTGCCTGAGAGGCAAGATATGTGTTGTGGAATATTCTGTTACTATCTAGCCTTGGGCAAGTCACTTCCCTCTTTTTTTTTTTTTTAAAGATTTATTTATTTATGCATACAGAATTGGAGTACAAACCAGAGGTGCAGAGGTGGTAAGCGGATTCACCACTAAGGGGAGCAGTGGGCGGGACAGGAGAGGTCTGCCGCACCATGTGGGTCACCTCCGGGGCTGGGATCAAACTCACACTGAGTCTGCTGCATCCTAACCCATTGCACCACCGGGGAGGGCCCATTTTACTTTTTTCTTTATAGAAATGAATGGAGCCTTGAATTCATCAAAGTTCAGGAAAGAGACCTCTTTTCTTTCTCCACATGTCTTCATAAATATGGAACATTTAAGCAATTATTTAAATAAAAAGTAAATAATTGACCATAAAGGATAAAATCATGAGGTGGTTGTTTTTCAGTTCTTAACCCAATTCATGAATTTAATTGAATCCTGGGAAATTATATAGGCAAAATCATGCACATTTTTGGAGAGATGAGACCTGATTTTCATCAGATTCTCCTAGGAGTCCCCTAACCAAAAATGTTTCACTATTCAAAGTAGTTGCTACTGAAAATTTTCCCATATTTGTGTTGTCACTCAGGGTTTGAAAGAGAAGGGAAGAGATATGTTTGGGAAGTGAGATCTTATTAATATAGGTAGGGACAGTATCAGCTTTCTTTGGTTAAGTAGGGATCTTCGGTCCAAATATGTCCTAAGAAACAAATATTTCCTATTATTATTTTTAATGGCAATTTAATTACATAACAAAAAAATAAGCAACAAAATAAAAAAAATTCACATTTTCTTTTTGGGGAGTATTAAATTTAGAAGATAACTTTTTTAAATTTCAGGTCCACTTTCTTCCAAGAAAAAACTATTATTCCTTTAATAGTTATGAGTCAGTTTTAAATTTTCCTTTTTGCTCACACACATATACACACACACATGTTCAAAATGATTTGTCTCTTGTCACCTATATATTTATCAAAAGCAACTAATAATACATCCTATTTCCGTTTGAATAGATGTATAGTGTTCAACTGTATGAGCTCTATCATGATTTAACTTTTGCATTATTTATTTATATTAAAACATTACTTGTTGTACACTTAAAAATGCTGTATGCTGAGGTCAGGGGAAATCAGGGAGTTGACAAAAATCTGAGAGGCATTTGTTCAAGTAAAGCAGTTTAATCTCAGTAATAAGAACAATTTATGGCATTTTAATCTGTCCTATTTTCATCTATTTTTCCTCTTTTCTAAAGTATCTTTGAAAACCAATGGCCTTGTTTTACAATCATCATGTAAACTAGCACTAACAGATACTTGTTAGAGCTATTCATACAGTCCCATTTCTAGCTAATTATCTGGGAGTTTTGTTACAGTTCAGGAAGGCTCACCTCAGAACCCCCAAACCTGTCTGTTTTACATAGGTTTTGCCATCTGCTGCATCAAGACAAAACATGTAGATCTTTAATGGGAAGTAACTTTAGTACAGTGAGTGTGCAAAGAATATAGGTTCTTTGCAAAAAATACAAAGAATATAGGTTCTAAGTCAAGCACCCAAAGTTACCCATCCCCTCATGGGTAAAAGTCCACCCAAAAGGGATTAGTCCAAAGCAAGGCCTGAAAGCCCGCCACAAGTCTAAAGTCCCATTTTGTGGGGACCTATGGGGAAAAGTCAAAAAGACAAGTCTGGGAGGAAAAGAGCAAAATCAAAATCAAGATAAAAGCTGCTGTTGTTAAGCTCCCCACAGTTCTCCCCCACACATCTGTTTCAACCAGCCCAGGGCCAAGAAGCTAGAGCCTCCTCTGCAAGTGTCTCTCTGCTCCAGTGTCTCCTCATGCCTCTCTGGCTCTCCATCCTGCTTACTGGTCCAATTTCATCTTTCTAGCTTTCTTCTCTTTCCTGCTCAGCGCCAAACTAACTTTGGGTGGGGCAGGGGACCTGGAACCTCCCCTTTTTCTAGGGACCACCCTCTTACAGTTTCTTCCAAAATTCCATTCATAGGGCTTGCTATTATTTTCTCTGGCCCAGAGTTTGCTCAGAGGCTGACCAAAAAGCTTAAAAGAAACATCTGGGGGATGAGTTATCCAGAGGACCTGCAAACATTTAGCTCATTTTAGAAGGTCACACATACACATACACCCTGCCAAAATATGCACATAACCAGGAAATCGGTAGAAAAGCTCAAATTCTCACTTGTGTTTGCTAACATTAGTCCCCTTTGCCAATGGGTGATACCAACAAGGAGCAGCTAGATAGGAACACTCAAAGGATATTCCTGGCACAGGGGAGAGGCCTGGGGCTATAGAAACAGATAGTGGATGAATTTCAAGCCAGCTTGGCTAGGGGGTCTGGTGCATGAATGAAAATCTCTTAGAATACTGCAATTTTTATGATTTAGTTCCTGTTCATTAAAAACCATACTCTCCAGGGCAAATTAAGCATAAATATTTCACATGCATTTTCCAGGCTCTGTGGCTCTTCAATGTTTTTGCTATGGAACCCTGCTGGTGTGTTCAGGGCAGTGCTCAGATCTGATTTAAAAGAAAAAGAAAAAAAAGGGAGGAGGAGAAGGAAAGAAAATGAAAATGTGCTGACCCTTTGCTCTCCAGACTGTCCTTCTATCCAGACTGACCATTATCACACTGTTTGAACATTAACAGGGCCAGGTGAAGGGCACCCCGGGACCTCCAAATCTGCATGCTCTGAATGGGTTCTGCCATGTACCCCATAAAGAAAAAACATACCTTAGTGCATGAGCCCTTCAAAGAGAAAGAACTTAAATACAATTAATGTGTGATTAAAAAAAAAAAGAGAGATGGTAATTTCCCTATCCCTGGGGATTACCTTGTTATGAACTTGGAGTTATTTCTAGTTTTGGATGCATTACAGAGGTAACTCCATGAAAGATGGAGGTGGGCCCTCCCTAGTGGCGCAGTGGGTTAAAGCACAGCACTAGGAAGCTAAAGCCTTTTCACATGAGTTCGATTCCGCCAGCCCCAGAGGTGACCACATGGCACGGCAGACCTCTCCTGACCCGCCTGCTGCTTCCCTCAGCAGTGTATTTCAGTCTATCTGCCTCTTCTGCTTCCCACTATGTCTCTGGTGAATCCTCTCACCGCCCCTGCACCTCTGGCCTGTACCGCAGTTCTGTATGCATAAATAAAATAAATCTTAAAAAAAAAAAAGGTGCCGGTACATGCTCCCTGCACCCCTCCCCAGCTTTAGTGCATTCACCTGAGACAGGCTACAAGTGTGAAGGGCCCATCTGAGCAACCAGGTGCAGCTCTGCATCACAGAAGGTAGGTGGGCTGAAAAAAGGGGGTGCTCTTGTTCCTGCAGCTCAGTTTGCACCCCTGTACTTCTGGAGATGAGGCATGTGGAGGAGAGACATGTAGAAAGATTTGAAAGAGACACATGGGTCCGAGGCTGACAAAGGCAGCTGCTGTCTTCGTGTGGTGTCTCCTTTTGTCCCAGTTTTCTGGGACCTGTTTCAGAGTCCATGTCTCCCCCAGGAGAGGCCTTAGACTTGTGGTGAGCTTTCAGGCCTCAGCAGTCCTGCTTCGGGACAACTGTATTTGGCAGTGCATCTGCCCATGAAGTGGCAGGTAATCTGGAGTGTTTTATGTGGAATATCCTTTCTTTTTCTCTCTATGCCCAATTCTAGTATGCTCTTTCACATTAGAGTATGTCTTCGTGTGCACAAATGGCTGGATCCCTCTAGAGTATGCAAATTTGAGGTTTTCTAGGTGCCCCTTAGTTACATGCTAACAGAGGACATAAGGAATTTGAGAATTTTTAGTATTAGAAAGATACTTTGAGGTTATCAAGCACCAGAACACTATGGAAACAGTGTTCTGGGTTTGTGGTACTGAATTTTAAAAAATTAAATTTGATGAGGCAAAGGGAATAATTTGTTTACAGTGGAACTTTGATTAATAAATGTAGAGGTAATGATAAAAATTGAAGATCACCTTTTAGGAAGTACCATACTAATAACTGTGTCAGGCAAGCTTTTCCAAAGGGAGTTAATTTAGTGGGTAATATATAATGATAAACAAAGGGAAAAAATAGCTTTATAGTAGAGAGTGTTGGCAGAAACCCTTTAATCAAGTGATCTAAGTTAACCTCACTAGGGATGAGACATCAAAGTCATGTTCCTAGTGATATGATATACTGGGGAGTAGATAATATCATTTATGTGACTTTCTTGCCCCAAATACATAAGCTTTATTCAACCAGGAGAAAACATAAACTCATAACTGGTTAGTACTCTCCATTACAGACAAAGAAAGATTGCTGAATGTTTTCAAATTGGGGGAGACCAAAAAGAAAGTATAGTTAAACAAAATGTGTATTTTGGATTGGATTCAGAACTAGTTAAAAGAACAGGTATGGGATCTTTGGAAAAATAAACACTCTTTAGATTAATGAATAGAATTTTATCAATATTCCCCCCACAGCTTTGATAATTGTACTATTGTTATTCAAGATGCTAACTTTGGGTGGGGGGCTGG